CAGCTAGTGAGAGAATGCTCTCTTGCAAGGCCAAGGGGGAGTGTGTGTACATACTGTCAGATCCAGGGGCTTTGCCTTGTATTCCTAGATAGCTAAGGTTTACTTGTGAGTTTAGTAAATGCCAAGCGCTGTTCTTGAGTGGAGTCCTTTTCCGCGTAAGTTTACCTTGCATGCTGCATGGACAAAACTTGCCATGAAACTGGGACCCAGGGTTTAAATTGCGCCTCAGCACAGCAGCCCCTGGCCAGGGGGCCTTAAGCTGCCTTTGTAGAGTGTTCTACGTGTGACCCACCAATCAGGTTTGTTTTGTGGCCTCCTGGCTGGACACGGCTGTATTTCCCCACCCACCCCACTCTCAGGCAGGCAGCTGAAAAGAAAAGACTTGTCATGCTTCTGCTGGACTGTTTGTGCATGGCTGATGAGCAGCTTGGTCTGTGAGTCTACTGCTGACTTGCCATAAGGACTAGAAGCTTGAGGTTGAAGCACGGCAGAGAACTGATGGAGAAACTGACCAAGAAGGCTTTGAGCTTAATGGGGGAATTCTGAATAGATGAAAGAGTGCAGGTCTCTCCAAGAGCAAATCTGGGATGATTCAGAAAGACATGCATGGGGAATAGCTGCCATACTCCATGGAGTGCTGGCTTTATTCACAGCTGTGACCTCAGGGGCCATGACTGATCCCTCCTCCCCCAAAAAACTTTGCTGGTCATGCCAGTTATTAGTGCGATAATGGGATTCTGAGCCCCTTGTCACCACAAAAGTGCTTCCTTTCACCAGTCCCCAGAGAATGGCTACAAAGTCCCCCCCCCTTTTCTTTTTATAAGTGATTAAATATTTAAAATTCTGGCTCAACTCTGATAGTGCTCAGAATATTACAGGCTGTGTGCGTCTCTTGTTCTGCTTGTTTGAGATCAGCATTTTCCCTGGTTGCTGTTTGGGAAAGAAATACAATGTGTAAAAATGGTTTTGTTGCTTCCCCTTGGGTAGCTGGGAAATGGACCAACCAGTTCTGGGCACCACAATTCAAGAAGGACACTGACAAACTGGAACGTGTCCAGAGGAGGGCAACCAAAATGATCAAAGGCCTGGAAACGATGCCTTATGAGGAACGGCTAAGGGAGCTGGGCATGTTTAGCCTGGAGAAGAGGAGGTTAAGGGGTGATATGATAGCCATGTTCAAATATATAAAGGGATGTCACATAGAGGAGGGAGAAAGGTTGTTTTCTGCTGCTCCAGAGAAGCGGACACGGAGCAATGGATCCAAACTACAAGAAAGAAGATTCCACCTAAACATTAGGAAGAACTTCCTGACAGTAAGAGCTGTTCGACAGTGGAATTTGCTGCCAAGGAGTGTGGTGGAGTCTCCTTCTTTGGAGGTCTTTAAGCAGAGGCTTGACAACCATATGTCAGGAGTGCTCTGATGGTGTTTCCTGCTTGGCAGGGGGTTGGACTCGATGGCCCTTGTGGTCTCTTCCAACTCTATGATTCTATTCTATTCTATTCTATTCTAGAAGGGTTTGGCTCCCTGTGGCTGAATTGAGTGGGGCCCCCCCTCAGGCTCAGGAAACAAAAGCGGCCCCCAAGACCTCTCTGCCTGGCCCTCGGGACCCTCCTCTTCATTGTCACATATGCTGGTAGCTTATGCCACACCCTGTAGCGATAAATTCCACCTGGATTATGTGTTGTGTGAATAAGCATTTCCTTTTGTCTGTCCTGAGCTTGCTGGCAGTGGGTTTTCCCTGAGCAACCCTAGAGCTTTAGCCTTCTGAACAAGGACGTTACAATGCCACTAAAATGTCTGCATAATATAGTAAGTTCATTCGCAAGGATACAACTTTTTCTTCTGATTTTCTTCTAGTTAAATAGGTGAAGCTCTCGTTCATTTATTTTCTATTTTTCAAAAGGGGCAAAGTCTTGCAAGCAAGGAAGAGGCAAGCAAACTTTACAGCTTATTTCACCTTAATAAATGAGAGCTCAATTATGGGCATTTGAAGATATTTCATTCGCTTGCTCTTTTTCCTGTTACTCATGGGAAATAGCAATAAGCTCCGGTGCCAGCCTCCACAACTGCTGGAATTCCTACTGAGACACTCACCAGTTTTGGAGATTTTACCATACATTGCTCCCAGACTTCTAACTTATCTTTGTAGGCTAAAAACTTAGGAATGTAGGAAGTTGCCTGAGTCAGACTATTGGTCCAGCCAGCTCAATATTATCTACACTGAGTGGCAGCAGCTCTCCAGTGTTTCAGATGGGGCTCTTTCCCAACCCCACTGAGAGGTGTCAAAAATCAAACCTGGAACCGTCTTGTATGCAAAGCTCTCCCACTAAGAGCCAGTGTGGTGTAGTGGTTAAGAGTGGTAGTCTCGTAATCTGGGGAACCGGGTTCGCGTCTCCGCTCCTCCACATGCAGCTGCTGGGTGACCTTGGGCCAGTCACACTTCTTTGAAGTCTCTCAGCCCCACTCACCTCACAGAGTGTTTGTTGTGGGGGAGGAAGGGAAAGGAGAATGTTAGCCGCTTTGAGACTCCTTAGGGTAGTGATAAAGCGGAATATCAAATCCAAATTCTTCTTCTAAGCTACTGCTCCCCCTCCAAAAAAGCCTTTAAGAATCTGTGAGGTTGTTTTCTGGATGCAACAGAGATTTCTGCTGGTCATTAGGTATTTGTCTCTCTTCTCTGATGTAGCCATGTCTTGGACTTGGTTTGCACATAAAGGGAGGGGAAGTGATAAAGTTCTAAGGTGGTAGAGTGCTGGGCAAGGATCACATATTAGAACACTTCCTTGGCTGTAGCTAAACATCCCTGCACTCAGAAAGCTAGCCCAGAAGGTGGTGTGGGCTAAAACGTCTCTCCCCTGATGTGCTAGCCTTCTACTTGCAGGGGGATTTTATTATTGAAGGGAGGTCGCTCCAATGTGGCACCTCCCGCTGACAGAAGAAAACTTTTCAAGCTTGCAAATTCAAGTCTCCATCGTCTTCATTTCTCTTAAAAGAAGCTGAGAGGCTTCAATAAACTAAGATAAGATTGGCATTTGGGGTGCGTGTGTGGCTAGGAGGTTCAATGGCTCACCCCCCAGATTTTGCAACAAAAAAGTGTTGTGCCTCTAGCTCTGGTTTCCGAGACTTCCCAGGCTCCGTCAGCTGCTCCATGCTGCCACCTACGGGCCATGCCTCCCACCTGCAGCTTGGTCAGATGCACTGGTGGCAAGTTCCTGAGGGTTTTCTAAATTGTTGGTGCCTGAGGTGGAAACTCCAGCTGTCTTCTACGGGCTGTGACCCAGCGAGAAGTCCTTCTGAGGAGAGGGTTGCTGAGAATGCTGGATTTTAGATTCCACTTCCAAGTTTCCACCTGGTCTGTGTTTGATCAGACTTCAAGCCTGGCTGGACCAAGAGATGGCCAAGTGCCAAACGTACTCTCCCACTCTCAGGCATGGCAGCTCCAGTGTGAGTTATGTCCATCTCCCTTTGAGCCTTGGGGTTCCACTGCTCCCTGGTGAGTCCATGCCCTCCTTTTCCAAAGAAAGGATTGGCTAAATTGAAAAGGCTAAAAGGCGCCCAGTACCAGGGGCAGAGAGCAGGCGGGGGCATGGCTGGTGCCCCCCAGGGGCATGACATGCATCCCAGGGGCATGGCATGGCACCCATGGGGGTGTGACGCACATCCTGGGGGCGTGACGCGCTTCCTGCAGGGGCGTGGCATGCGTTCTGGGGGCATGATGCGCAGTCTGTGGGGGCGTGGCACCTGGCGCATGCGGGGGTACACGGCGCGTGTCCAGGGGGGGCTGCCGCAATGGCACCCTACCAGAATAGTGGTGCCAGAGGCAGTCCGCTCCCTCCCCACTCCCTCCGCCAGTGCCTCTGCTACCTGACCCTTTTAATTGCAGGTGTTGGGTAAGGAACCTGAGCTACGATCTCACCCTTGCTCTGTGGTGTTCGGCTGTGTGGTGTAGTGGTTAGACTACAACCTGTGGAGGGGGGAAATGAGGGTTCAAACAACCCTCTCCATCATGAAGCTCCCTCTGCCCACCCTACCTCACAGGGTTGCTAAGAGGATAAAGTGGGAAGCCAAGCACGCCACTCATATCTTTGGAGGAAAGCCAGGGCATAAATGAAATCCTAAATGCATACTTTATATAAAAAAGGAAGCCTTGCCAGTCTCCATTCATTTCTCCTTAACATTTATATATTATGGTTGTATTTATTCATTTTTTTAAAAAAATCACTTTTCCTTTTAGAAATCCCAAAGTGGTTTACTGTAGTGGATTAAAAATATATCAGCACAATAAAACATTATTGATAAAACAGAGCAAAACAGTAAAATATAATAAAAACAGTACATTTACAGGGTTTTTGGAGAAGTTTTTTAAAAAACAGGAGATTATTTTATTTTTTTATTTCGTAACATTTATACACTTGATTGTAAAAAACAAACAAACCTTCAAAGCTATTTACAAAAAGATAAGACGATAAAATTAAGAAAGAATTGCAACTTTAACTTAAAACATACAAAAGCTAAAATACCAAAACAGATTAAAATTACATCAATTTTCTAAATCTGTGTTGAAACAGTGAAGAAAATCTTTGCCAAATAAACACTGCCACATTTCCTTCCCTATCCTTAGAGTTATTTGATCTTGTATCTTATTTTCTTACAGTACGTACAGGATGTGTTGTGGGGTCTGCTGACTAGTTCAGTGAGTTGATTTAGACTGAACTTTCTGACGGCAGCAGCTGTTTGACGGTGGAACTGCCTACCTTGGAAGGTTGTGGGTTCTCCTTCCTTGGAGGTTCTTAAACAGAGGTTGGGGGGCCATCTGTCAGGGATGCTTTAGCTGCGATTCCTGCATTGCAGGGGGTTGGATTAGAGCACCCTCGGGGGGGGGGCGTCCCTTCCAACTCTCCAGTTCTATGATTCTATGAAAGAGGAAGAAAACAGTGTCAGAGGTATGTGCCATTGCCAGCCCGGGCTAATCTGTGTCCCCCTCCTCTTGTTGTTCCAGATTTCTCCTGGTCTTCAGCTGTCTGGTCCTGTCTGTGTTTTCAACCATCCCAGAGCATCACAAATTCGCCAACCAGTGTCTCTTCATCCTGGTAAGGGGGGCTCCTCTGGCCCCCTCCTCATCTGTCTTGCTCTCCTGTCTGCCCATCTTAAGTCTGTTCTTCATTCTTGCAAATCCCTTCTCCCCGCCCTTGGTCTTGCAATCCTTTCTCTTCAGCTGGCTTTCCTACAGGGCCAGCTCCAGGTTTGTAAGTAAGGGACTTAGGGACCCCCATTCCATTCCCTCCAAGAGGGTGGTAGCAGCTCCTTCCCACCATTCTCGGTTTACTTGCCCCAGGAAAGGAAGAAGCAGAAGCAGAAAAGTTTGGATTTGATATCCCACTTTATCACTACCCGAAGGAGTCTCAAAGCGGCTAACATTCTCCTTTCCCTTCCTCCCCCACAACAAAAACTGTGTGAGGTGAGTGGGGCTGAGAGACTTCAGAGAAGTGTGACTAGCCCAAGGTCAGCCAGCAGCTGCATGTGGAGGAGCGGGGACGCGAACCTGGTTCCCCAGATTACGAGTCCACCGCTCTTAACCACTACACCACACTGGCTCTGGAATCAGAGGTTGGCATCACTGGTCACCTTCCAAAGGTTGTGTCTCAGTGGGGCAGGCCTTATAAGCCCCGGAAGGCTCTTTTCCTTGCTGCTGCTTCTCCTTCTCCTCCTCTCTCTGCAAACCAGCAGTGGAAGGAATGAAGGGGGAACTCCTTGGCAGGTGCCAAGGAGTTCCAGGGTGGTGTAGTGGTTAGAGTGCCAGATTACGACCTGGGAGACCAAAGTTCAAATCCCGGCTTAGCTAAGAAGCTCACTGGTTGACCTTGGGCCAATCACTGCCTCATAGCCTAACCTGCCTCACAGGGTTGTTGTTGCGGGGATTAATTGAGGCGGGGAGAACCATGTGTGTCACCATGTGCAAATGCAATAAGCAAATATATAAATGAGGCTGCCCCTCTCCATTCCACCTACAGCAGCTGGCTGGCCTAATAACTGAACCTTAATTCCCTAAATGGCCCTAAACGGCCTCGGTCCAGTATTCCTGAAGGAGCGTCTCCACCCCCATCGGTCTGCCCGGACACTGAGGTCCAGTGCTGAGGGCCTTCTAGCAGTTCCCTCACTGCGAGAAGCCAAGTTACAGGGAACCAGGCAGAGGGGCTTCTCGGTAGTGGCACCCGCCCTGTGGAACGCCCTCCCACCAGATGTCAAAGAGAAAAACAACTACCAGACTTTTAGAAGACATCTGAAGGCAGCCCTGTTTAGGGAAGCTTTTAATGTTTAATAGATTATTGTATTTTAATATTCTGTTGGAAACTGCCCAGAGTGGCTGGGAAAACCCAGCCAGATGGTCGGGGTATAAATAATAAATTATTATTATTATTCCACACTGATGACTAGAAAGGCATCCTCTGCTTCCCCTGAGGCCACAGACTAGTTTAGGAGGGGGCTAAGACAGGCTGTCCTCGAAGCTACAAACATGAGTCTGACCAAACTGCGGGAGGCAGTGGAAGACAGAAGTGCCTGGCGTGCTCTGGTCCATGGGGTCACGAAGAGTCGGACACGACTAAACGACTAAACAACAACAACAACAAAGACAGGCTGTGTAGCAATGGAGACTGGTCCTTTAGGGCACTGCCCCACCAACCTCAGCTTACATCTACTTTCCTCCCTCCTGCCTTGCAACCTTTGCAGGTGGTGGCAGCAGTGGCTGTCAGCTTCCTCCTCCTGGGTCTCAGTGTTGCCCTTGCAGAACTTAGCAGCGGGGAGGAGGAGGAGGATGGGGACAGTTGCCTGACATTGCCTCTGGCGCCACCTGCTGTTGGCCTCCCTGCCTTCCACCCCAGTGAGCACAAGCCACCATTGCTGTGTTTGCGAGTCCAACAGAGGGATACGACCAAAGGACTTGGAAGTACAGCCAGGGAGTGGCCTCTACTGTCCAAAACCTCCACTAATAGAGGCAGCTGTCTCGCTTGGCCTAATGGTAGGGCCAGTACCTGCTTTGCTTGTGGGCTTCCTGGAGGACTCTGGGTGCATAATGCTAGCTTAGCTGGATCTTTTGGTCCGATTTGGTAGCAAGATTCGTCTTCTCATAGCCGGCAGTCCTGGTGGTGAACTTTATCCGTATGGAAAAGGCGGGTGACAACTTGGGGAAGAGGGAAGGGCGACCAAACCCAGGGGGAGGGGGTGGGCGAGAAGAATCTTTAAAAAAAGCAACTTTCCCCCAAACTGTCAGAAACGGCTGACGCTGGAATTCTCCCGACTGAGATGGAGACTAAATTAAGAAGGTCCGTGTGACTTTCCCTCTAGTAAGCAAAATAGGGGCTTGTTTGTGAAAAAGGAAAGAAAGGAAAGGGAGGCGACGAGGCAGGACAAAGCTGACACGGCGGGAAAACTTGCCCTTATTGACTAGCGCTCCAAGGGTGCAAGAAAGGGATGCAAGTAGGCTGCTCATACGGGCTTCCTGGGCAAGGGTGCTGAAGCGCCACGCTGGCTTTCCAGTCAGACCAGGAAAGATGGAGAGGCTTGTGAAGCTGCCATCTCTGAGGGGTTATAATTCATTGGCAGAGCATCTGCTTTCCATGCAGAAGGTCCCAGGTTCAATCCCTAGCATCTCCGGGCTGGCAATATCTGCCTCCAGCTGAAACCCTGGAGAACTGCTGCCAGTCAGTGTGGACAGTACTGAGCTAGATGGAGCAATAGTCTGACTCAGTAGAAGGGATCTTCCTTTGTTCCTATTTAAACCATCCCTTTTCTTTGGAACCATGAGGGCTGGAATCTTACTTTAGCAAAAGGGAAGGGCCAGAGCTCAGTGCCAGAGCCCTCGCTTTGTGCACAGAAGGCCCCAGGTTCAGACCCTGGTGTCTGCAGGAAGGACTTATAATGTTCCCTATCAGAAACTCTGAGAGAGCTGCTGGCAGTCAGTGCGGACAATACTGAGCTGGGTGGACCAAGCTAAGTGTAAGGCAGTAGTGTATGTCCCTACTGCAGTGATTAACTTTATGGATAAAAGGTTGGGTTTCTTCAGTTACATGAGAAACCATGGCTCCATACCTCAGCTGTACATGGAAACAGCTGCCGCAATTCCTTGGCTTGAAACAAGGGTGTCCTGTAGCAGACTCCCCTGTAGCTCAGTGAAAGCCTCTGCTCTGCAGGCATCACCAGATAGGGATGGGAGAGACTTTTTTTTCTGGGACCCTGGAGAGCAGCTGCTAGTCAGTGTTGACAGTACTGAGCTAGATGGTCCAATAGTCCAACTCTGTATAAGGCAGCTTCCTGTGTTCCTACGAATAGGCCAACCAGGCTGGTGCTCACAAGTGGCTTTGCAGCTGAAGTTGTCTGGGGGCTTTCATAATACGTCCTCCAAATATCTATTTGAAAGTGAATTCCCGGCATCGGTGTAAACTAACTTCCTCCACCTTCTCCAGAAGAGATCCTTTGCTATCTGAGGTCTGGCCTTTGCTTGGGAGAGGGATCAATGATTTGCAATGAGGACATTTATATTTAGAAAGCAGGTCCCTATGCCACACTGCCCTTTCCGGATTCTAATTTCTGCTTGTGGGGTCCACGGGGGCCTGCCGAGGTGGCCTGGTCACTGGGCTGCAGCGGAAACTGCAGGGGGGGGGGAGAGAGGTCTCGTTCTGCATGGCTTGAACTGACATTTGGTAGTCGCATAAGGAGGAATCTCTTAGCTGGACTTCTGGTCGGATCCAAGCCCCACCTGGTCCAATGTCCCATTTCAGCCAGCCTGTTAAGATGCCTCTGGGAAGCCATTAAGCGGGAGCCTCTTCCTGCGGCTCATTCTCTGGGCCTGACATTCAGAGATTGTGCTGAATATCTCTTGAACATGGAGGCTCCATTTTTGTTGTCATGAGTAATCAAAGAGGTATTTATTTACTAGATTCCTTGCCCATCCTTTACTGTGAGGTCCCAGGTTAAAACAATAGAATATTAGATTACAAGGATAATACCAGGTTACAACCATGGTGACAAATTAAGGTTACAACAATGCAATATTGAATTATAAAATGCAGCAGCCATAAAACACATTATCATGAGTTTGTTTAAAGTCTTTCAAATTAACAGCTGTCTCTTAATTTTTACGGCAGCAATTTTTGTAAGTTAACTGTGCGTTATGAAAGGCCGTTGCTTTGCTCTGGTTTTATTTTTCCTTTTTTATGGGGGTTCAATAGCTGTCTTTAATATGCTTTTGTGGGAGGAAGTGTAGCCTGTCTTATGGTACAGTTGTCCTGAAAGGCAAGGTGTAAATATTTCATTAAATACACTATACGAGTGTGAAGAAGCATGTTCCTTTATTGATTTTAAACTTAGCCACATGTCTGCTTATTTGGGTGACTTTCAACACACACACACACACACACACACACAAACGGGGAGGGGGGACAGGTTCTTACTATTACTATTACAAAAGTGTTTGGTAGCTTTCTCCTGCCTGCTTTCCCCCTCTCCGCCCCTCCCTCTCCAAAACCCCACACCTGATTTTTTTTTCTGTTCCTCTCTCCTCCTTTGCAGGAATTTGTCATGATTGTGGTTTTTGGAATGGAGTACATCATCAGGGTCTGGTCAGCCGGCTGCTGCTGCCGCTACAGAGGCTGGCAGGGACGCTTCCGATTTGCCCGGAAACCTTTCTGTGTCATAGGTACGCCATTCATTTTGCCCTATAACAGCTAGGAGAGAAGGAGGAGTCACGGGAAGAGACATAGCAATGGGGCAAGGCATGCACAGCTGGACCACATCTTTGCACCGAATGTGTAAACCACGCCCACCTGTTAGCCACCGGACATCAGGAGCAGCAATCTGTTATCCTTGATCTAAGCACTCAGATATGCACTGCACTAAGATCAGGAGATAATTCTGTGCCTGCTGCCTTTCAAAGAGCAAACAGAGCTTCATTTCTGATCTTAGTGATGTGCTGAGATCAAATATAAGCCTGTACCTGCTGCTGTGGCCTGAACTTTGAGCCGGGGGATGCCATATGACATCAGGTAATTGACAGATAGGTGGCCCCAACCTGCCCATCAAAAATGGTCCACAGAGGGTGAACCAGTTCTGGATGGGGCCCTCTGCCTGTATCTAATTCCCCACCGCTGATACAAGGCTAGCCAGCAACATTGTTCTTGGGGTAGTGTGCATAGAACGGTAACATACAATTTAAAAAGACAATTTCATATTTTATTTTATTTTTTGAAAAACCCAACTTGCAACATAAAATTCATTTTCTGGAAGAAAGGAGAATCAAAACAGACAATTCAAAAGTGCAGCTCGTAAACAGTGGCTGAAAGGCTAAAATTGTATATTTGTAAAAAATAAATAAATGCATGTTGTTAAAAAAGAATAAAAATGTTCCAGAAAGACGGCAAGGCAGGCATCAGATGGTTCTTTCTTAGGAGGGTGTCCCACAACTCAGCTACTACTGCTGAAACGCCCCTGAGCCTGCGGCATCCTTTCATGGGGGCACCTGGAACAAGGCCTCTGAAGACCTAAGGCTTACAGCAGGTATATATAAGAGAATATGATTTTTCAGGGATCTTGCTCTCAAGCTACTAAGGGCTCCATAGGTTAATAGGACCCAGAAACAGTGAGATCCTAGATACAGGTGATCTTAAGCCATATAGACCTTATGTTCCTCTTTCATGGAACATTTTTAATACCTTCTTTATGATTTGAATAAAGACATCCAAGTTGTTTTACTGCAGTTCTTAAAGTGCTCTGGGTGGCCTTTATCTCAAGCCCTGCTTTGTCCTTTAGAGACCCACATTTTTATTAATTTTTGCTGAGCTATCAAGTTCTCTTCACCAAGGGCGGCCTTGAATGCCACCTACTGGAAGTCCTGAGCACTGCATGCATTGCATAGTCTTACTTGCTTCACCGCAGGAGAGCTGGTGTAGCCCTTTGAAAAGAGAACTTTAAAAACAGTTCCTTTGCCCAGGTCTCACAGCAGGGTCACTGCATAGCACGCCTTGCCCCAAGAGTTTATGTTATCTTCCTCCTTTCTATTCTGCCTACAACTGAAGATGCTGTTTTTAAAACAAGCTTTTGATTCCATGGTTCAGTTTAAGTAATTGCTTTTGACTTTTGGCTGTTTGGGTTCTTGTTTATTGATGCAGCTTTTAGTTAGACAGTTATACTGAATTATTATTATTTTTATGTCTGTTTTTTATATTTTGCAAGGTGCATTGATTTGCTCTTGCAATTCAGTGGCAGAGCATCTTATTTGCATATAGAAGATCTCAGGTTCAGTCGTCCACATCTCCAAGCAGAGAGAAGAGAGGCCTCTGGAGAGCCACTGCCAGCCAGTGTCAACAGTATGCAGCTATATGGACCAGTGATCTGACTCAAAATAAGGCAGCTTCCTATGCCCCAGGGACACTTTTTTTATACAAATAATTTAAAGACTTTTCATAGTTCAGGGATGTGTGCTTCCCTATCGCCCCATTAGAATGTAAACATCCTATTAATCTCTCTCTCTCTCTCTGTAATTTTGGCCCACTTGCAAATCCTTGGTGGTGCTTCAGGTGACCAGCTTCTGCGTTAGGCAGAGGGTTTTTGCTGAACACACAGGGGACCGGCCCACACCTTGGGCCCTGGATCACGCTTGCTTCCCCCTTCTCTTCTTCTGTTCCAGATTTCATCGTTTGCATTGCTTCTCTGGCCGTCATCGCTGCTGGCACCCAGGGGAACATCTTTGCTACCTCGGCACTGCGCAGCATGCGCTTCCTACAGATCTTGCGCATGGTGCGCATGGACCGCCGCGGCGGCACCTGGAAGCTCCTGGGCTCAGTGGTTTATGCGCACAGCAAGGTGAGTTGGCAGCCTGAAGCAAAAATAGAAGGTACAAAGCACGCTGGGGGGGTGGCCATGGTTGATGTGTGGGAAGAAGGAGGCTCAGTTCCAGTGCTGCAAAGACCTAAAGACCTTCAGCCTCTCATTTGTCTTCAAGAAGAGTCTTGCTGCCAGATTAGGCCAAAGGCCTATCCAGTCCATCACCCTCTTCTCATAGCAGCCATCCACATGCAGACAGGAAACCCACAAGGAGCACCTGAATACAACAGCACTCTTCCACACATGGTTGCCACCAACTGATATTCACAGGCATACTGCTTCCAATGTGGAAAGTGGTTTTAAATCTTTTTGAGGATGACTATGAGACTGAAAAAAAATTTGAATCATCAACTTTTGGAAAATCAGTCATTCTCGGCTAGAGGGAGATGGATAAACTTGTTTCCATTCTATGGCATTTTGCTGTTGCCCAATCAAAGGTCTGTCCCATCTCAGGTTTTGCAGATTTTAAAAAACAGAAAGCACAAAAAATTCTACATTTAAATTGTACATATTCTGCATTGTACATGTGTTCTTCTTCCCCTAAAATGCACATTTTTATATGCTTTCCAATGCATAAAATATATGCTGTCTTTCCTCCTTTTTAAGAAAATATATAGTACATCTTTTGAGTGCACATTTTTGGGGCATTGCAAATTCTGGAGAAGTGCATAATCTGAGTGATAGTTGCATTCTGTTCCAAAAGAAATTTTGGTGACAGAAAACTGGGTCTGTCAGTTGCAGAGATTAAATTTCTTCTCCCTCCTTCCTCTTAGCATGTCTGCTTCCTCTCTGAATAAGCAATGATGTAAAGCAGCAAAGCTTATACGAAGTTCCAGGAGACCACGTGGTCTCTTAATAAGAGGACTATTTGTTTGTTTGTTTGTTTGTAATATTTCTCACTTGCCCTTCACTGTAAGGTCCCAGGGCAAATCACCAAAAATATAGCACACAATTATAAAAATGTTGCAATTAGAAAACACAGCAAGATACAGTGGTATCTTGGGTTACAGATCCTTCAGGTTACAGACACTTCAGGTTACAGACTCTGCTAACCCAGAAATAGTACCTCAGGTTAAGAACTTTGCTTCAGGATGAGAACAGAAATCGTGCAGCGGCAGCGGGAGGCCCATTAGCTAAAGTGGTACCTCAGGCTAAGAACAGTTTCAGGTTAAGAACGGACCTCTGGAACAAATTAAGTTCTTAACCCGAGGTACCACTGTAATTTCAAATGGAACAGAACTAAATAGAGAGAACTGGCATGGACTATATATCAGAGTGGCCTTCTCATCTTCTAGTGGAAATGATTATGTGTGGCGTCCAAGCCAGCCAGCCAACCCCTCCACCAGGAGACTAGAAGCAATAAGAAACCAAGCAGGGCATTCCACTCACTATCTGCCCAGTTTTCCGTTTTCATTTTTAAGTGACATTCAACTTTCTGTGGACACTTAGCATGCTCAGTCATCATTAGGCTGGTTTGGGGTGTGGGCGTGTCTCTTTGGGAGGCTGCTTTTCTTAAAACTGTACTTCTGCAAAGCTCAAGGTTCCCCTGAGCACGCTGCTATCTCCTTGTGTGGATTTCAAAGCCCCCCGGAGAAACATTGAATGACTCCAGAGAATCGCCAGTCATGTTGCGGCTTTTGTAGTTTAGGAAGGCCTTTCTTTCCTGGTACTTTTGGGTATGTTCATATCTGAGTAGAAGAGCCCCTGAATCTTGCACTCTGTTCCATGACTTAGGTTTCTGTGTCCTATTCCTTTGGTTTTCTAGCTGGCTTTTTATGTCTTCAGCTAGGACTGCTTTGCTCCAAGTTCCTTTTCAGGTTACTTGCTGAAGTTCACTTTTGTGTGTGTGTGTTGTGTGTGTGGGCAGGAGCTGATCACAGCTTGGTACATCGGTTTCCTGGTCCTCATCTTCGCCTCCTTCCTTGTCTACCTGGCAGAGAAAGATACCAACAAAGATTTTCTCACCTATGCAGACTCGCTTTGGTGGGGTACGGTAAGTTAGACATCTTTTTGATCTGGCCTGCTCTTTCGTCTTGGGATGGGCAGGGAGGGAGAAGAAGTTAAGTTTGTTGGGGGATGTTTCAACTGACCTGTTGAGAGCACACTGGGTGCTTAGGAGATGTGGAGAACCAGGCTATGCGCTCCCTCCACTGTCAGAGACTGTATGCTAGGAATTGCTGGAATCACAAGTGGGGAGAATGGTGTTGTGCTCAGGTTCTGTTTGTGGGTTTCCCATAGGCATCTGGTTGGCCACTGTGAGAACAGGATGCTGGCTTAGAGGGGCCATTGGTCTGGTCCAGAAAGGTCTGTCTTATATTCTTAAGATGCAGGGGGTGGGACGACTGAGTGCAGAGAATATCCTCCATAGTCTGTGGAGGGGGAAGAAATTGACTTCAATTTGCTATTTAATATGAAGCTGCCTAATTCAGGTGGTGCTGTGGGTTAAACCACAGAGCCTAGGACTTGCCGAACAGAAGGTCGGCGGTTAGAATCCCCGCAACGGGGTGAGCTCCCGTTGCTCGGTCCCTGCTCCTGCCAACCTAGCAGTTCGAAAGCACGTCAGCAACCTAGCAGTTCGAAAGCAAGTAGATAAATAGGTACCGCTCGGGCGGGAAGGTAAACGGCGCTGCTCTGGTTCACCAGAAGTGGCTTAGTTGTGTTGGCCACATGACCCGGAAGCTGTATGCTGGCTCCCTCGGCCAATAAAGTGAGATGAGCACCGCAACCCCAGATTCGGCCACAACTGGACCTAATGGTCAGGGGTCCCTTTACCTTTAATTCATGCTTCCCATAACAAAGCGAATGGCAGCCATCCTTTGAAATTCACACTTCTTTGAATTTTGTAATGTCCTTCTCCAACCAAAGAGATGGGTGCAAAAATGCATATATTAAGGGAAAGTGTGCATAAAAATATACATGAATGTAGCAAAATGCTGAGATTGCCCTTTTACATGTATTGTTTAATGTTCACCCTTGCACTTACAAGGAACCCATCATATAGTGTGACAGTACTTAATTTCTGAGACTCCTTTCCTGTTAATATTAGGCAGGTGCCCTTGTTGTATTTTTTTTTTAAAGCCTGCTAGAAGCACTTTAGGCAATATAAAGTACCCAGATGTGTACTTTTATTATTATGAATATTTTATGCTATTTATGTAAGCAGCTTAGAGCTTTTTTATTTTAAGCAGTATATACATCTTGTTAATTTTTTAAAAAAAACTATGTTAAGGGAAATGGCTGGCAAAACCTGTGCATTAGGCAAAGCTGCATACAAAAATGTGTGTATTAGGAATACACGCACACACACACACACACACACACACACACACATATATAGTGAGGACTTTGCTAAAAAGCAAACCAAACTGATGAGGAAATAAGAACATAAAAGACCCCTACAGAGGTTTCCTGCAGCCAATCAGAAGCCATGCTTTGGTTTTTGAACATTTTGGAAGTCAAACGGACTTCCGGAATGGATTCCATTCGACTTCCAAGGTACAACTGTAGTTGATAAAGACCAGAGGGGTCCAGCATCTTTTTCTAAGAATGGCCAACCAGATGCCCCAATGGGAAACCTGCAAGGAGGGCCTGAAAGCAACAGCCGCAACTCTCCCCATGTGAAATTCCAGGAACTGGCATTGGGAGGCACAATGCCCAGTGCATAATGCACAGAATGTAGTACATTGCCGACATGCTTCGTAGCCATTGACAGCCTTATCCTCCATGGAATTGTCTAATTCCCTTTTAAGGCCATCCAAGTTGGTGGACGTCACAACCTCTTTTAGGAGCATATTCCATTGTTTCACTATGTAATGTGTGAAGAAGCTTACCGGTAATTGAATATTCCTGAGTTCTAGTATAAAAGAGAGAGAGAGAGAGAGAGAGAGAGAGAGAGAGAGAGACCTTCTCTTTTGCCACACTATGCTCCCCACCCCCATTTACACACCTTTTATTTAAATTGAAAAATTCAAAATGTTTGTAACCTTTCCTCATAGGGGAATTGCTCCATCCCCATGATCATTTTGGTTTCCTTTTTCTGAACCTTGCCCAGATCCAACTGGGGGTGAGGCAACCAGAACAGGACACTGTATTTCAAATGACACCGTAGATGTTTGTAACGGTATTATGGTGCCGGCGGTTTTATTTTCAGTTTTGTGGTGAACTGAAGTTAAGAAATGAAAAGTGTTGTGTACCTCTCAGCTGCACCCTCTGAAAGTGTAAAGGAACCAGAAGTTGCCGTGAATCGAGATGATGCCAGCCTAGTCCTATCCAGTCATCCTGACTGAGATAGCTCAGTCAGTAGAGAGTGAGACTCTTAATCTCAGGGTTGTGGGTTTGAGTCCCATATTGGGCAAAAGATTCCTGCATTGCAGGGGGTTGGACTAGATGACCCTCATGGTCCCTTCCAACTCTTTAATTCTATTCTATTCTATTCTATTCTATTCTATTCTATTCTATTCTATTCTATTCTGTTCTGTTCTGTTCTGTTCTATTCTATTCTATTCTATTCTATTCTATTCTATTCTCAGATGTTGTTGGGCTACATCTCCCATCAGCCAGCATGCCCAATGGTCAGGGCTTGCAAGGGCTGCTGTCCGACAACCTTTGGAAGTTGACAGGTTGACAGCAGGGTGATGGCAAAGGATTTGTATTGACATCTCCTCTTCTGCTTTCAGATCACACTCACCACCATTGGCTACGGGGACAAGACCCCCCAGACGTGGCTGGGCCGGGTGTTGGCAGCCTGCTTTGCCCTTCTGGGCATTTCCTTCTTTGCTCTACCTGCTGTAAGTAGGTGCCAATGAGACCTGGGGGAGAGGCTAACAGGGATGGCAGACTGGTGGGTAGGGGGAAGTGAGGAGACACCAATGCCCTTGTCTGGCACAAGCAGGTGGGCTGGTGGGCTTTTCCAAGCAGTTGATGGGGCTCCTCCTCCAAAATTAGGCCTTGACCTCTGTTTTCTTGCTCCATTTCTCTTTTCCACACAGGGGATCCTGGGCTCGGGGTTTGCTCTCAAAGTCCAAGAGCAGCATCGGCAGAAGCATTTTGAGAAGAGACGGACACCGGCGGCCAACTTGATCCAGGTGGATAGAAAGGAGAGAAGAGTTTGCCGCAAGGCCCTTCTCCAGCTCTGTGGGTGGGCTGTGATCCTGGGATTTCCCCCCCACTTCTTTATTTGTGATAGCCAAATCCTTGCCCTTGTAATTGTGGGGGTATGCTTGGAAGGGTGTGGACAACACCTCATGGAATGGCTGGAATAATCCCCCCAAAGAAACTAAGTGTTACTTATTTAGAATCACAGAATGGTAGAGTTGCAGGGACCCCCAAGATTCATCTAGTCCACACCCCTGCAATGCTGGAATCTCAAATAAATAATCCCCTTGAAACATTTTTACCTTGCTCTTTAGGCTCTCGCAGTTGCTTATGGAAATCAGCTAAAAGGCACGGCACACAAGGAAGGAGGGACGGGTGGGGAGGAGGAAAAAAAAAAGTAAGGCTGAGCAGCAGTTTCTTAAAGTAATATAGCTCCTCCCCAGGACAAACAATATGACAATGCATTATGCAAAATAAGAGAAAGTAAGCAAATTTGCATGGATCACAGAGTGGAGCTTTTCTTGGCACAAAAGGGGGGCACAGCTTAGTGGCAAAGCATCCCTGGCAACGGATCTTGAGTTGGGGAAAACGTTACTCTGCCTGCCTTGGAAAATTGACGACAGTGGGAACAAGGGCTCACACAGATTTCCACTTGTCCCATTGCTTTCCACTGGGAAAACCCACGGTTTAGCACTGAATCGGAACAAACGGCAATTGGGTTTTTTGCAGATTGCCAGATTCAGTGGTAAACAGCAGGTTTCCCTGGGGAAAGCAGCAGGGCAAATGAAAAACCACTCCGCCCCATTCCTAGAAAGCATGGAGCAAGCCCTAAGTATCATTGCTAGTAGAGTAATGGTCAAGTGGGAGGGGTCCCAGATCACAGTACAAGATTGTGCCTAAGGTCCCAGGTTCAGTCACCACTCTCTCTGGATAAAAATATCTCATCAGGGCTCAGAAAGAAAGACTCCCTCTCTCTTCCTGAGATCTCAGAGACCCACTGCCAGTTGGAAGAACAATGGAAGCCCTATTTAAGGAAAATGCAATTCCAGCCCCCTTTTCTTGCTTAAATACAATAGCTGAGCATGTCATAGGATAAGGTGGTGGGTGGGAATCCCTTCAGCTTTTCCCAGGACTCTGGTTTTCCTATGAGCTCAGCATGTTAACCCCATCAAAGCTGGATCCAAAGGGAAAACTGCTAAAGCTAGCCAGGAAACCTCCTCCAAGTCCTAGAGGTTTGGGTGTAGATGGCCTATCTCCCATGGTTACGTATATTATTATTTTTCACATAAGAAGCAGCTTTTTACTTGAAACACTGGAGGCTTTAGCCTATTGGCCCATCTAGCTTAATATTGTCTACACCGACTGGCAGCAACTGCCCCACTCTGGCATGCCCCTGGCTGGTTCCCCTGCACAATAATATCATTTATTAAATTTATATCCTGCCCTGCCTCCCCAAGAAGCCCAGTGTTGCAGTCTGGTCCTTTGCCTGTTCATCCTTGTTCTATCTGTGACCTCCTTCTTGGCCCCCTTTCCCCTCCCCATGTTGCATGCTCAACCCAATTCCGATTCAGTTTTTCTTTGGCTGTCCCTCCATCTGCCCTGCATTTTATAATATAGAACCTGCCATCGGGGCAAAGAACAAAAATCCGGGTGTATTAGCCATGTGCCTAGATTGTTTCCCTCCCATTGTTGCTGGAAAGGTGATGCTTCTGACTCCCCCGTTATCTCTCTGGTTCAGAGGACTCTTGTGACAAAGGGGACCCCTCCTGCCCCTCCCATCTCCTCCTGTCAGCTTTCCTGCTGCCCCACTGCTAAATGCAACTCCAAGTTGCCTTTCATTCGCTGAAAGGCCAACGAGGAACAGCTGGAAATGGACAGTGAGCGAGACAAAAGGGGAACGCACTCATTGTTTCAGCACACAAAGCAATCGCAAGGACACAGCTCTCTGCCCCCTTTGCTCCCAAGACGGGCTCCTCTGTCCTTCCCCACCTGATAACGCCAGCCAATTCAGAAGGCCTTGCTTTCTGGAGCAGATGGAAAATGGTGATATGGCCGTCCACTTTCTTCCACCCCACCCACAATAATTCCCTATAGAGCATTTCCCCACCCCCAGAAATAAATGGGAAACGATTTGGGAGAAACATCTCAGAATATTGAGCTGCTGTAATTTGAGGACTCCTGGGGGAAGATTATGGGCTCATCATCCTCTGGTTTAGGCCCCAGCCCTGTCCCCCTGCCTCTGCCCCAAATCCTCTCTATGGGGTTGAGCGTCTCATGCTCAAGGCATCTGATCAAATGAAACAGATTAATACTGGAATGTGTGATGAGACAAAGTATACGTTACAGAGGGCCTCTGTGTTAGACTGAGGAGTACAGTGTCTAAAGCCAGTTCACAACAATGTCATGGTACAGGGAGATGTGACTTTCCAGCTGGGCCATCCCTACCATTGTTGTGGAGCACAGAGCTGAATACACTGTGTGACATGCCCCCACACCTGCCTAAGGTATCCAAAAAGTCCCAGGTTCAATCCCTGGCTTCTCCAGGTAGGGCTGGGATAAGTTCCTTGCCTAAAACCCTGGAGAGCTTACTGTCAATTCTGAGACAGTTCTGAGCTAGATGGGCCAATAATCTGACACATCTCAAGACAGCTTCCAATGTTTCTACATGGCCAGCTACCTGAAGGTGCGGAGAAATACGGTCCGTATCTGTATGTGGAATGGGACACAAAGGGGAGCTCCTTTGTCCATTGCCCCATGCAGCAGAACCCCTTTTGCTATGGTTTGCAAATCAGAAGCCGGCTTTGTGAATGCAGGCCAGCACCACCACTCCCTTCATTTCCCAGCGTTAAACACGGCTTAGTGTTAAATGCACAGCGATGCACTCTGTGATTTACAGAAATCAGATTCCCTCTTAACCATAGCTTCAAACCGCAGGTACTGTTTCAGTTTTGTAATAGAACCACAACTGCCACTGGTGCCCATGTAAAGTGAGACCATATTTCTGTGAAGGGAGGGGGCAAGTTGCTCTGAAAAGTAAAGGAGGAAAATGGCACTTGCATTGTGTGTGGACCATTTAGAGATTCTGTTACATTACAGTATGCAAGTATAAATGAATAAATAAATAAATGGAGAGGGAATCTTTTGTCTTGATTTGCAAAGATTGCTGCCTGGGACATCTATGGGGTAAAAGGCAGCAGATTTTGGGCCCATTTCTGCCAAAGCAATAGTGCAATTCCTTCCCTGTGAAGCTTTTTCAAGGTTTACCTTTAAAATCCAGTATCCTTTTTCCAACAACGTCTGGCCAAATGCAGGTTGGGTTGGTGGGTGAGAATATACCTGGTCTTCTGTATTAGAAAAAGAAGTGTACACACCATATATTCAAAGCACATCCACACACACACCCCTCCAGAATCCTGGAAATTGTAGTTTACCCTTCAGGGATCTACAATTCCCAGTACCCTTAACAAACTATGTTTCCCAGGATTTGGGTGTGCTTTGAATGTATGGTGTGTATGCAGCCAAAGATGGTCCCAGTTGCAGTTTTAAATTGCTGTGTTTTTGTTGCAGTTTGGTGGTTTTACTCTTATCTTGTTTATCTCCTGTAACAATACTGAGGTGGTCTATCTTGCATGTCTTTTTTAACTGCAGTTTCTCCCAAGGGACTAGGAAAGCCCTAATATATCCCATTATACAGTCCCTTCCTGGCTGCTTTTCTGAGTCTCTCATGATCACTTAGCTTCAGGGCTCCAGTAAATCACCCACAGCACATTTTTGAAAATGGACATCCTTATTAGACTACTTCTGATTGCCTTATGAATATAGGGACACTATTTAGTTTTTTTAAAAAAGCAAGCAAACAAACATAATTCTGTTTTTTAGTTGTATTCATTGTATTTGCTATTCATTTGTTCTAAAAAATTGTTTTTGTTTTTTCCAAATTGTTACAAATCAGACCAGATTACTTAAATTTAATACAATTTCTTAAAATTAGGTTTCCAGTTCTTGTTGCAAACATATGTTGATATTTCCTCCTGAAGCTGCATCTTCTCTTGTTTAATGTCCAGTTGTCATCCCTCACTAGATGTTAAGTTGTATTTGTTATTAATGCTGTTAATTGCTGATTTCAAAGAAAGAAAGGGAAGGAGGGAGGTATATATCTTGTTTATCTTGTTATACTGTGATATCTTCGTGAGCCACCTTGATTTAAAAAACGACAGTGTCAATCAGTAACAATAACGAGATGGCCACTGGGGAAAACAAGCATTGCATAAAGAACATGCCCTTCTCTTTCCCCACCCCCATCCCCCTTGTCCCGGTTGGTGCAGGCTGCGTGGCGCCTCTACTCAACGGATGTCAGCCGGGCCTACCTGACAGCCACCTGGTGCTATTACGACAGCATCCTTCCATCATTTAGGTAGGTGTGAAGTTGCCTTGGTGGAGGAGCCTACTTGGTAGTGGGCCCCTAAAATTCACAGACTCTCTGCAAGCCAAGAGGTAGAGAGCCAGGGTTGGCTGGAATGGCTAAGCCAGTGGGGCTGATAATTAACATCAGGTTCAGGATGGCAGTGGTTGGACTAAAGTTACATTTTTTCCTGTTTTCTTTGTGGATTGTTGCCATTTCATGTAACAGTTTTCAATATAATGGACGTATCCGTTCCCCAGCAAATAAGAACGGGGACATTTGTGTCACTGACTTTCTGTCATTCATCCAGTGTTGGGTAGCTGGTGTTTGATAGATCCAAATCAGGGGGGTTCTTATGTTAAGTTAAGTTAATATGGCGAATTAATTTGGGGAAATGTTGCCATGCAGCAATAATCCACTGTTCTTTTTCTGTTCAGTCTATGCACTAGTCAGATGTCTGTCTTTAGGATGGGAAGGGAGAGCACAGAGGGCCTGAACATTGCAGGCACTCGGGTTGAAAGGACAATGTCTCTCCCTCTCTCCCTGTGCAACACTCTTTTGCTTCCATAATAGTGAATGACAGCCATTCTGTTGCACAAGAGAGGGAAAAAACAGGTGCCCTCAGGAGTGTGGTGGTATGACTTTTAAAGGTGAGGCAGTGGCTTATGCCTCTCATGCTGCTGTTTTCCCTGGAGCCAGTGGAGGAGTGAAACAGAACATCTGCTGGCTGGGGATTGTGTGCAGATCTCACACCCTCATCACAAGGCATCACACTTCCATCACAGTTCCATCCCCCTCTCCCTTGACACATGACCTTCCCATCTCAATCAGTGTCGGGACTTTGTTTGCAAAGACTTCTGTGGAGACTGGGAGGTGCGGTGTGGATGTTGGAGGAGACCCTTAGTCTTTACATGCTGATATATATACTCACTCACATACATATATACATGGATATGCACTGGTGGGTGTGGACATACGACGCTGGCCTTTACTGAACCAGACTTCTTAATCCATCTCGTTAAGTTCTGCCTCATTTGACAGGCTCTTCAGGGTCTCAAGTAGGGAGTTATAGCAACCCATAGTAGAAGTCATATGACAACCCAGCCCAGCAAGTTTGCACCACAGAATCAGAGAATGGAAGAGTTGGAAGTGAGACAAAGGGTCGTCCAGTCCAACACCCTGCAATGCAGTTGTCAGATGATTGATTCTGCAAAGTACAGGGAATGACTTCCATACTTACCTTTATATGGTCTGATTCCACGGCTGGTTTCAGAAAACATCTTCAGTAGTGCACACCCTGTTGCAGAGGCAGCCAAACCTTTGGGGCCAGTAAGCACATCTGGAATTTTGAGAAAGTGCCATGGGCGCCTGCCTCCCAATGGCTGCTGCCGGGGTGTGGCAGAGCACAAAATTGCTGCCGCATCTACAATAGCAGGGGAAAAAGCAGGGCTACAAAGCAGCCCCCCACCCAGAACCCCCCTCAAGCCAGTGGGAGAAATGGCATGTATATCAAGTGCCTCCACGTTCATTCACAGAAAGAAGCTCTTTGCACTTCTCAGAACAGAAGGGAAGATGGATGTCCAGCCCTGGCGTCCCGTGGATTGCAGGCGTGTTTCAAGGGGGCAGGTCCAACGTAAGAGGGCCTGAATCAGTGAAAGCAGGAACCAATCGGGAAAAGCTATCAGTCGTTCATGCATTGTAGATTTTTGAGGGGATATTTTCTGAGAGCTTTTGTGGGCACCATAAGAAGCAATTACATTAGTGCCGGTGGGTACAACTTGGGCAATCTGTGCTGTAGCAAGATGAAAATAGAGCACTCTAAAGAGCAAGGTGCTGCAAGTTCCTGTTTAGTTTGTCTGCTATTTTGTTCATATTATTTATTTATTTATTTATTTATTTATTTATTCATTCATTCATTCATTCATTCATTCATTCTATCAAAAGATTTCTACACTGCTTTTCATTTACCAAAAAGAATGCCGCAGTGGTTTGCACAATAATAAGGCATAACAGTATCCAATAAAAATTAGTAAGCAGTAAAATTGTCACAGTCACCAAACTCTACTAATAATATGAAGGGTTGGGGTAGCCAGTGTGGGACCAACCAGTTGTTTTGTCATACAACTCTCAGCATCTCATCCCATTCGCCAGGCTGACTGAGAGTGATGGGAACTCTAGGCCAGTGTTTCCCAACCTTGGGTCCCCAGCTGTTTTTTGGAGTACAGTTCTCACCATTGTAGACCACTGGTCTTGCTAGCTAGGGATGATGGGAGTTGTAGTCCAAAAACAGCTGGACACCCAAGGTTGGGAAACTCAGCTCTGGACCATAACATCCTCAGGTCACCATGTTGCTACCCTTGGCCTGGATGAACAGGCATGTCTTCCATCAGCAGTGAAAGCACCCCACAGCTGAGGCATAACTTGCTTTGACAATACAGTAGCTTTGTATGCAGTTCACTCTGCTGCCATCGGAAGGTTGGAGACGGCATATTTTGTTGTGTCCAGTAATTTCAATGTGTTTTCAAGCTGTGTGCAGAACCAAGCAGTTTATAAGGTTCAGGTCCAACTATGAAGCCTCACCACTGCAAGGTTTTGACCTGTCATTCGAAGGCAAAATACCAAAGCCGAACATCTGTAACCCCTCAGTTCAAGAAACCCACCTTGGCCAATTCACATCTCAGAGAGACCAACTCAAACAACTGAAAGAATTATGGGATACCCCCCATCTTTATTCCTCCCCTTCAATTTCTGCATGTTATATTGATATTATTATTATTATTATTACTATTATTATTATTATTATTATTATTATTATTATTATTTTATTTCTCCCCCTTTTCAAAGCATTTTAATTTCTCCATGTTTTTATTTGGACCCACCCCTAGAGAACTGGTCCTTATGTTTGACCACTTGCACCGAGCTCGCAACGGGGGGCTCAGGAACTCTGAGGTGAGGAAATTCCCTGATGGAGCTCCACCACCGTATCACTCCTTCACCTCTGGCCTGAAAACCATCCATCCTCCATTTTGCTTGGGGGAAAGGTAGGGTCAAAGCCTGTGGTGTGTCCCCTCTGTCTGTCTGGTGTGTTGGCGCTTTCTCACTCTGCTGCTGCTGCCTTCTGGTTTAACATCTGACAGACGTTGAACTGGCTTCCTTCCATTCTGCAATGGCCCTTTGACTTGAATGCACCACCAGTCCTTGTTCTTGGCCTCCCCCTTCAGACTGGAGTCTGCCGCTACATCTTGCTTATTCTAATTAATCATTTTTAACAAGTGCATTTTCTACAGAGAACTTCGGCGTTTGTGAATTATAGCTGTCACCATCCTGGCCTTTTGGTGTGGATTGTAAGACTTTGCTAACAGTGGGAATCTAGTTTTCTATCACAGATTTTAGTGCCCACCTCAGAACCCTGAGAACCAAAGCTTTTAGGATATGTTTCTTGCTTCTGTGGTTGTAGGGCAGAATGAATAGACAATGGACAATGGAGAATTTGTTTCTGAAGACTTGGAGGTTAGGACTGGGCTTCTGACATTGACATCACTTCTGTTTACATGGCTGTTGTACAGGAACCAGAACTTATTATACGGATCTTGTTTAGTTTGGCCTCTGACAGCTCTTCTGTGTTGTGTTAGATGCTCAAAAAGAGCCAAATCCCAAGTTTTCCCTTGCCATCTGGGAAAAGTCAGACTTTTTGGGGTCTTTCCAATGGGAAGTGGTCTCTAAACAGACAGCAGCAAACAGCATGGCAGTCGGGTCCTTATTTGTAAGAGGAGGGACAAGGGACTTCTGCTTGAGGAGCAGAAAGCTGTTTATAGAACCTATAAACACTGACGAGGGTTTGGCAACTTGTGGGGATGGAAGGTGGGAAGCAGAGACTACAAAGTTTGTGCTTCACGGTGCTGAAAATCCATTGTGTGTTTGTTCCTTCATAACAGACAGGCAGCAAATATTTCTTGAGGCTAAAAAAAATAAAATCTGCTAGCCCTCAGCAGGGCAGATTTGTCGCTGGATGCAACCAACTGGATTGTCTTGACTATATGAAGGCCTGTGTTGCTGGGCCGGATAGTTCCCCCCCCTCAAGTCTCCTTTGCAGTCCCTACCTCATTTCATCATCTTTTTCTCTCTCTCCTCTTTACCTCCCTCCACTTCTCCTCCTCGTCCTTCCTCCACCTTCCCATCTTCACCATTCCCCATTCATTCCTGGAAGCTGGAAAGAAGAGGAAGCTCCACCCCACAAGTGTTTACGCCTAAGGTAACCTTTCCCTCAAAGCTGCTGTGTGCTTTTATTCCCCCTCAAAAGAGAGACCACAGGACGGTAGGTTTTCTTCCAGAAGTACGGACGTTCTGCAGCTGCTGCTTGGGGAGAGGTCATCAAAGCCAAATAAACCTTGAGTGTGTGTTTGTGAATGTGTGTGTGTGTGTGTGTGTATCAGGAAAGAAGCCAGTACATTGTTACCGCAGAGACATTGCCCGCATGCTTTTTAGGCTCTAAAGCAGGTGGTGTCCTCCTGCTGGTCTCCTAGCAACCACCATCACTGACCTTTGGCCATGCTGATTAGGGCTGATGGGAACTGAGAATCCATCAACATCTGGAGGGCACTGCAAATGATCAATGACCCCTGGATCATATCCAGGCCTAAGAGGGGAGCCATTTGCCAGACCCAGAAACAGAGAAATGGATAAGCAACACCTCAAAAAATGGGATTTGATAGCAGGCCACATTAGGGTCATGGGGACTCAGCCCATTGCCCTCACTTATTTCTCCCAAGCAGTCTTCCAAAAAGTTGGTTGCTGACACAATTGCATTGTTTTGATGCTACTGCACAGCTGCCTGTTCCAGTGTTCCAATGAATGCATGTCTCAGAATCACGATCGCAGAGAGACATCTTCCGGTTTTCCCTGGAATGCCTCTGTCAGTTGCTTCTCTCGTGCAAAGTTTCAAGTATGCACCTTGCCATATGGAGGCAGAGAGCGAAAAGTGAGAGAGAATGTGTGTACCAAAACTTCCTGCACAAAAACTGGTTATTTGCTGCCCCCCCAGTTCTTTCTCTGAAATGTGCTTATCCTTTTTAAACCAGAAGTTTTTCCAACAGGTTTTTTTTTTAAATATAATAATGGATTGCTTCCTGAAGGGGTCCAATTAATTGCCCCATGCCTGCTCATTTGAATTAGGACCAAAAACTTATGGATAAGAGTTAAATATTCAGTCACATTTGCCATTGAACGATTCGTTCTGCAGGGGGTGCTGTATGCACACAAGCATCCATTATTGCCAGCCTCAGCAAGGCTTTTTCCCTCTGGGATCATCCTTCTAACTTCCCTTCTGCTGCCCCCCTTACTAACTTTTTGCCTCCTCCTCCTCCCACCTTTCCCCTTCTGTTGTTTTCTTTCTTTCTTTCCATTTCTCTAGCCAGATCTTTAGTAGTAAAAGGAATTTCTTTCGGATTCACACCGGCTGGAAACAGAGGTACCGAGGCTTTGGATCTGCTACCCAAGAGATGTTTTGGGGTTGAATTGGATTTTAATTGTTGTTGCATTGTTTTGCCCTGTGTTGGTTTTTTCCTTTCCTTTAGAAAAAAAAGGATGGCATGCTGCTCCAATGTGCAATGGAGATGTGCATGGGGGTAACCCTCTGAATCTTGCTATGAAGTCCTTTCTTGGTGGGAGATACGTTTGCTCTCCTGCAACCAGATAATCGGTCTCCAGTGCAGCTTAAAAGGAGATTCCATTAATGCGTTTCAGCTGGAACCATAGAAAAAGGAGAAAGAACTATTCATTGTCCCCCAAACTCCTTTTAAAATGGTTCCTTTCCCTAGTCTTCTAAACTTTTCTACTTCCTTTCCTGTTGGGTTGGGATTTGACCTGTCTGAACAGAAGGCAGTTGATGGACCAAAAATTGATCAAATGTTTATGTGACGTGGATTTTATCAGGACAGTGTCACAGAGGGAATCATCCATGGTTCAAAAAGGTACCACTCCCAATCCCCCAGAGGCTCAAGGGGTGGAGACTCAGAAGACAAGGGGATGGAGTGTGTTTGGGGCAGAAGATGGTAGTGATGGCTCAGGCTGGGGCTTCTCAAACAGGGCCTGGAGCTAATAGCAGAACCTCTCATCAAGCTAAACTCATCAAGCTTACCCTCTTTATTTCTGGCCGAACAGCTTGATACTTTACTCCTCTTCTCAGCAAGGACAGTGAGGAGGGGGTTGAACCCTGGACCAGCGCAAATCATGAGAGCCACCAACCCTGTTCTAGAATTCAGTTTTATAGAGTGCTGATCTCACCAAGGTCCCTCCCATCTGTAGATAATGCAATGGGCTCACATGAGAGACATCACTGTTGGACAAGCTGTATTGCCAGGACAATAACTTTCTCCTCCTCAAATTCTCCATTCCAAGGAAGGGGAGCCTGCAGCCCTCAAGATGCTTCTGGGCTGCACCTCCAATCAGCCTCGGTCAGAATGGCTGTTGGCTGAAGATGATGGATGCTGTACTTTAGAGATTCCTTTAGTGACTGAATGTGGCCATTAGACAGAGTTGGTCCATGTGGCTTCATAGGGAATGTAGAGATGCAGGTCAGGAAGTTCCTGTTCTCAAATGAGATTGTGTTGTGAGCAGGGAGTCCTGCTTCCACTGCTATCAGATGGCCCCCATAAAGCAGTAAGGAAGATAGACTTCTGCTTCCATCAGTGCTCAGCTGGGGCAGAAGAATCTCTGCCCCTTCCCTTTTGCAACAGCTCACTTATTGTCTCTTTTTAGAAGGCAAGGGAAGAAGAAGAAAAAGCTCAGTTATATGAAGCCCAGTTTGGTGGTGGAGATTGTAGGTTTCATTAAGCCCCCTGCCCTACCTCCCTCATTTCATAATCTGAGCAGTGCCAAAAATTAATAGGAGGAAAGTAGGATTTTCCCATTTTTTTCTCATAGCAACCCTGAGAAAGCTGTGCTGGAGATCTGCTTGCCTGTAGGTGCTTGATGACAAAGTGGGTTTGGAATAACTCTTGGGGCCAGTAGTGTCTTTGTGGATTCTCTCTCTCACCCACAACACCACATCATTCCAGGGGAAGTGGTTCCATTAGCACGGTGATGTCACCACTTTTCATGGGCGTCTGGATTCCAATACGAGCACTTGCTTCTGCGTCTGGGTGCCATGCCCACATCTGCAGGGACGCAGAGAGTCTTCAGAGTCCACAGCTCATCCTGTAGGACTTCTGCTGCATTAAACCTCAAAAGGATTGCATTCAAAGCTCACCTACTGACCCCACACCCCGAGATTTTCCTAGGTGTGCATCCATGGAATTATAAGTTGGTGGTTGTCATGGATGGGCTCAATCAGTTTTCACCCACAGGAAGAATTTAGTCTGGCAGAATATGCTACACAAGGGCTGGCCCTGAAGTTATTCCTATCGTGTTTTTAGTTGAGATGCATGGGGGAAAGGTGGAGCAGGCGAGGGGGCCAAGGAGGTTGACAACTGCCCCATCAGTGCAACCCAAGGAACAAGGCTGACAAATAATTTCTGCCCTGGTGGCAGTTATTGTGTGCCAAGGAACCCTGGCTTGAAAGTCAATTGGCATTATCCCTTGGCAAGAACCCCGGACAAGCGTTTCCAGAACAACAGCTTGATCACAATTACTGATCATAGGAAGCTGCCTTATATTCAGTCAGACCACCGGTCCATCTAGCTCAGTATTGTCTACAGTGACTGATAGCAGTTCTCTAGGGTTTCAGGCCAGGTCCTTCCTAGCCCTACCTGGAGATGCTGCTGGGGTTTGCACCTGGGACCTGCATGCACAGCATGTGCTCTGCCACTGAGCTATGGCCATGGATATGTGCAGAAATAATTTTTGTCGGGGGAAGTCTGTGACACTTGCATGAGTCTGTGTACAGTAAAACAAATAAATGCATTTAGGATTCAGGGGGGCAAATGCCCTCCCCCAAAATGGACACCCGTGGCTATGGCCCTACCCTCAGCCCAGCAGTGTAGAGCTGCAAGGAATGCTGGGGGCACAGAAAGGGTGAACTCTCAGTTCTTGGAGGGCAGGCTTTGCCAGCCAGGTGCGCTACAAAAGATTTAGGTGGTGGCAACTCCCATTGGTCCCAGCCAGCATGGGTTGTGATGGCTGGAGCTGATGGGAGGTGCAGTCCAAAAGCGCCTAGAGGGTACCTGGTTGCAGAAAGCTGCTCTCAGATGATGCTGAGGACTAGGAGGAGGCCTGCGATCTGTGTTTTGCATGAACTGAGGGTGCACTTCAGTAGACTCCCCTGCAGTGCATCAGTGGGTTCTGCTGAAATCCAGCCAATGTGGAAAGGGGTGTCTCCAGTTAAAAGACTGAAAACCGCTGGCTGGAAGGATTGGTGGAAGAAGTTACCCAGAGCAGATGCAACGTTCTCCCCACATCCCACCCCAATTCAGAAGGCACCCTGGTGCTTGAAGGTGGCCAAGAGATGGTTAGTCTCAGGGCTCATCCACCCTTTTGTTTGTGCTGCAATTTCCAGAAAAATTCAGGGAGGAGAAGACTTTGGGTGGCTGCTAACCATGATAGCTGTTCTCTGTCTCCATGGTCAGAGGCAGCAATGCTTCTGAATATATATTTTTTGGAAACTGCAGGAGGGGAGAGTTGCTCTTGCACTCAAGTGCTGCTTGCAGGTTCCCCACAGGCATCTGGTTGGCCACTGTGAGTACAGGACGCAGGGCTAGACGATCCAGCGGGCTCTTGTTATGTTCTGTGCTTCTGACAGACACATTTTGCCCATTCACTCTTATTTTAATGTTGAAGGCTAACAATGCTTTGTTGTACCTGGGTGGCAGAATGCCTTCCATAGTAGCTTACAAGTGAGATCAAGAAACTTAACATTTCTCTTGACTTTTGTTTGTTTGTTTTAAGGAAAGTTGATAAGACCCAAATGTAAAATCCTCTGCTGTTAAATTTGCCTTTGTGTGGATCTTATGCAAATGGTGACTTCTGGTCCTTGCACCTTGGGTGTGGGGCTGCTCTTGCGTAGCCTCCAGACATCTTAGAAAGGGTTATGCGATGTGGTCTGTGCTACATATTGTTTGTTCCATCTCTGGATTTCTCAGTGGTAGCAATTCTTTCAATGCTGGATCTTCATAAAAATCCTGTGGGTCAGGGCTAGTGATGTCACCAAAATTTGTATTTCTGGGACTTCGAAATACACACTTCAGGAGTTCATAATGCTCAACTCAAATATGGGGTAAGCATTATAACCACTGAGGTTGTTGCTGTTTTGTAGGTCAGAACCAGCACTTTGAATTTGGCTCTGGGACAGATTTGCTGCCCTCTTCCTCGCACTGTCAGCTTTGCTTGGGTTGGAGGCCTCAACTTCCTACCAAGGGAGATGTTCTTGGCCATTTAGCCAGAACATCAGCCGAAAGACTTATTTATTTTAGCTAGCTCCCATGTACTCCCCCAAAACCTCTGGAGTATCCAAACATCTCCTTTCCAGGCCTCCTTTTTCTGGCGGTGTCTTTCAATCTCTCTTTATCGGTTGGTCATTTTAATGCTTTATATTTTTGTTTCTTTCTTTTTCAGCCCTTACCGTAAGTACCTCAGTAGCATCTGGACCATGAATAGCGTTTTGTGGCATGACTTGATTTTGTCCTTTTCCTTCTCTCCCTTCACCTATTTCTTTGTTAACAACAACAAAACAACTGTCAGTGGTCAGGATTGGGTGCACTATATAGTGCACAAATATATATATATTTGTGTGTGTGTGTGTGTGTCTGCACTAAGGTAACTCAAATTCTACAACAAGCTGGATTCTGCAATCTTATGTCTGTTAAATATATATGCATGGACTCTCTTACTTTGCATTATTTATTCTGGTTCTACTAGTTGGAAGGAGGGGTCAGGAGCTGTTCAGGGTACTGAAACTCCACCCCTAATCCTTGCAAATCTTAACCAGAATTCAACAAAGCTTGCCCACACACTTTCATGTTGTTGTTAGCAATGATAAAGACTAGAATCCTTTTTTTAAAAAAAGTTGACGTTCTCAGGGAGTCTTAATCCTTAAGTCAGTTTTGCATTTTTAGGGGAGGTTGTGTGGAATTGCAGCTCTGATTTATGATATGCCTGTCCCCACATCCTAGAGAGTGCCCTTACTAAGCACAAAGGGGAAACTGGTCCCTCTCCCTTTTCATGTAGATTTCCCTCCCTACTTCTGCATAGCTAGGATGTCCTTCCCTGCCCTGATGCCCTCCAGAGATTTTGCACTACAAAATCAGCCCCAGAGACTGGTGGGGCTATGGAGGAGAGTTGTACCCAAAAACATTTGAAGGACACCAGGGGAAGGTTGAGCTAAGGAGTGGATTTAGCTTTGATACTACTGGTTGAAGCAGTTGAAAGAGATGTCGCTGCCTTACTTAAGAACCAGTCATTTAAGCTTTTCTTTTCACTTCCACAAGCAGCAGAAAATAAAGCCATCCTTGTGGAAGGGAAGCAGTCAAAATCATTTGTAAAAGTGTTAAAAAATAAAAGACACCCATTAATTGCAAAACAAAATGACAAAAAAATATATCACTACAGTTTCTACTGCCATTTGTACGCTAGCTAGGACCACCTTCTTATTCTGGATTAACTAATCCAGGCTAAAATGCATCAATTGGGGCACAACATGCATGCCTTTAAACTACTGTGTCACACTTACATTCCTGATTGGGTAGGGAATCTGTGGCCCTCCAGATGTTGGACTCCAGCCCCAGCCAACATGGCCCAAAGTCAGGGATGATGGGAGTTGTAGTCCAGCAACACCTGGAGGGCCACAGGTTATTCAGTCCTGTTTTGGATTAGTCATATTGCAATCCTATCATACCTACTCAGAAGTGAGTGACACTGAGTTCAGTGGGGCTTATTCCAAGGAAAATATTACAGGATTGTGTTGTATGAGGGCCTGGTGGACACACAGCATATTTTGACCAGTCATTGGTCTTCGCTGATGCCTGACTTCTAGAATTGGCTTGTGAGCAAGCAGAAATTCACTTGAGTTGATGGGAGATACCACAGGCTAAATAAGAACCTCTTTGAGTCTCAGTGTGGGTAGAGTAGCCATTTATTCAGGTTCTGAGTTCAAGACCTTGGGAAATGCCCTGTCTTTAGCCTGCTGTGATCAGGCTATTCTTTGTACCAATATTTCCTCTCTGATTCTGACATACATCTAGAGTTGGTGTAGGATGTCAGAACCATTGAGTCAGCTCCAGTCAGCTCCCTCTTGGAAGCAGTCAGCAGGTCTACCAGGGACCAGAGTGCAATGCGCCACATCTCTCTATCTCTTTCTCTCTAGCGCCCCCTTTAGGTTGCTGCTTGCATCCTCCCCAGCTCAAGAGCCCCTCACCTCCCTCCTAATTTCTCCGTTCCTCCCCTGAATCCTTTGCAGCAATAAAATGGGCATCAAGGACCGCATCCGCCTGAACAATTCCCAGAGGCAGGGCAGCCGGGGGAAGCAGCATCTGGTCCCACCTCTCCGCCGCTCTCCCAGCACCGAGAATGTCAACGAGGCCATCAGCCCCACCAAGGTGCAGAAGAGCTGGAGCTTCAATGACAGGACAAGATTCCGGGCCTCATTGAGGCTGAAGCCCCGGACACCTGTGGAGGGTAGGTCTTGGGAGCACCTGCAGTTTGGGGTTGTGAAGGGGTTCTGGGGTAGGGAGAGAAGGTTGCAGAGTGTGCTTCTCTTTAGGGGCTGCTCCTCAAGATGCCTGCAGAAGAAAGAGTTCTAGACAGCTTGAGGAAGTGAGCCAAGCCACATGCTACTACAAAAGGAAGGAAGGAAGAAATAAAGACGTCACGGGGTCATTAATCAATCTGAATCTGCTAGGGGAATTTCATTCCTGTTCTAAATATGATATTGATAGTATGCAAAAGCTACCTCCAACTGCCCTGTTCCTGCCCTTCAATCTTCACAACTTTTATTGGGATGCAAGCTTATAATATTGAGCAATTGTTGTGTGCCTGTGTGTTTGCACACACCAGGATAAACAAAATTAGAGCAAAAAGGGGGAAACACACACACAGACAGAGGGGGGGTGCTGATGATAGGGAGAAGCAATTATTGTGCAAATGAACTGATGAAGGGTGGAGAGAAATCAAGAGGAAAGTGGAGGGCAATTTGTGCGAATGGTGGGCTGTGCCTTCCTTAAACTGACTAAGAAAGCAGGAATGCCAGGCAAGTCACTCTCCTCCCATGAAGCCCTGTTTCTGCTCACAGTTGATGGACCTGCAGAGGAAAGCAATGAGGAGAAGGCCTACCAGTGTGACTTGACTTTTGAGGATATCATGCCTGCTGTGAAGATGCTCATCAGGGCAGTGAGGTGAGCCTTGTGGGGCAAGTGCTCTTGGTTCAGGCCCCTGGGGGCCTTTGTCTTGTGTTATTTGGCAAGTGTGGCTCTGGGTACCCCTTTCCTCCTTCCATCCATCCTCTCTGATGGATTGATGCCTTGCTTTTGATGAGACAACTTGAACTTTGAGATGGGGGTGGCTGGGTAATTGACTTTAGGTTGTTGACTCCCCATTGCTGCACCTGTCCAAATGAGGGCATAGGTGGCAAATACCCAAGTTTTACAGATTGTTCCCCTTTCTGGGCTCAGAGCCCAGTACCACAAGCGTACAGATAAAGATAACATCAAAGCAAGCCAATTAGCTTATATCAAAGCAAACAAATATAAACATGTATGACAACATCTACCAATTAATTGTGGGGTTATCTTGACTACCAAGGTGGTGTTAGCAAAACTTCCAGGACACTTTGCCTTTGGTTCAGCACACCTGGTTGGCCACAGTAAGAACAGGATGCTCTGGCTAGCTAATCCTTTGGCTTGATCCCATGCACCCTTTCAAAAGTTCTTACTGGGCTACATGGACCAGTGGTAATGGGAATGGGTTAGAACATCTACTTTGCATTGATGAGGTCCCACCACCTGGTATCTCCATTTAGCAGAGATAGACGAGTCTTCTGTCTGCAACCTTAGAAAGGTGCTACTAGACAGAGCAGACTATGCTAGATAGGCCAGTGGTCTCTGTAGGGCAGTTTTCATCAAATTATCAGGCTGCTTTTCCCTCAAGCCTTCTGGATTTTTACATTTTTGCAGAATTCTCAAGTTCCTGGTGGCCAAGAGGAAGTTCAAGGAGACGTTGCGTCCGTATGACGTCAAGGATGTTATTGAGCAGTACTCAGCTGGTCACCTGGACATGCTTGGCAGGATCAAAAGTCTCCAGACCCGGTAAGTGGAGCTGCCAGTGCCTGCTTGGACTATAGTTTCTCTTGCAGGAAACCCAGTTTCACCCAGAACTCGCTTCCCTCCTTCCCTCCCTCCCCCCAGTGTTGTTGAACTACAACTGCCATCATTGCTCATGGGACTTCTTCCCTTGTGCTTGATCCCTACAGCCAGTGCAGAATGTTGCAGCATGATTGCTGACAGGAGTGAGACCCTCCAACATATAATACCTGTGCTCAGGTGTCTGCGCTGGCTGCCAGTTTGCTACCAGGCCAAATTCAAGGTGTTATTATTAATTGAGAAAGCCTTTAATAGCCTGGGTCTGGTTTACATGCGGAATCACTTTGCCCAATATACGCCCACTTGGCTGCTTCAATTTATAGCACTGGTATGGTTGCAGGTGCCATGTAATACTTGCTCAGCATTTATAAGAAATATGTAGCCATTCTTTGCCACTTGCTGCCTCTTGGCATCAGGCAAGGTATCTTCATTTAAAGCACATTACTTCCCCCAAAGAATCCTGGGAACTCTTTTTTAAGGCTGCATGGAATTATAGCTCTGTGAAGGCAAGAGGTGATATGGTTGGAGTTTATGACATTGTAAGTGGTAAGGAGAAAGTGGATAGAGGAGGGGAAACTCATTCCTCTCTCCTCCTCCTCCTCCTCCTCCTTCTCCTCCTCCTCCTCCTCCTCCTCCTCCTCCTCCTCTTCTTCTTCTTCTTCTTCTTTTTCTGTGATCACTCATAGCTGAGTAAGATCTTTCCACAGGGCCCGCAAGACAGAGCTGTTCCACCAGGCCTTTGATCAGGGCACAGCCTGACCCCCCTCCTCTGGCAATCTGCACAGAATGTTGCTTAATGGTTGTCATTAATTTGATTTTAATTAACTTTATAATGAATGTTTTTAGAATGTTGGATTATTTTGATTGTTGTTAGCCGCCCTGAGCCCAGCTTCGGCTGGGGAGGGCGGGATATAAATAAAAATTTATTATTATTATTATTATTCCATGAACTCATGGGCATCTAATGAAGCTGAATGTTGAAAGATTTGGGAAATATGAAAGAAAGTATTTCTGCAGGCATAGAACAGTTAAACTACAGAGCTCACTCCCACAGGAGGCAGCAATTGCCACCAACTTGGATGGCTTTAAAAGAAGATTAGACAAATTCATGGAGGAGGAGAAGACTATCAATGGCTATTAGACATGATGGCCATGCTCTGCCTCTATGGAGGGAGGCAGAAGTGCTTCTGAATGCCAGTTGCTCGCCCTTGCATCCTTAGCCCTCCATGCATTGTTGCATCTGTGATTTCATTTTCCTGCCTTTCTCTTCTCTCTTCCTTGCCTGGCAGTGTGGATCAGATTGTGGGCCGGGGGTCTATCGCTATCGATAAGAAAAAAGGGGAGAAGACACCACTGGAGGTGGAGCTGGCAGACGACTTCAGTATGTTGGGCCGAGTGGTCAAGGTGGAGAAGCAGGTATGGCTGGAAGTGGAGGACGGAGGGAGGGAGGGAAGGAAGGAAGGAAGGAAGGAAGGAAGGAAGGAAGGAAAGAAAGAAGGGTCTGTAATGCACGCACTTGAGAGGCCTCTTGCAACCCCCAGCTAAGAATAGCTTTATATGTGGTCAATTTTTAAAAATGTTTTAAGATGTTTTTAGTGTTTTATCACATCTGTCACACTGAGCTCCTTTGGCAGGAAAGGTGGGATATGAAATAATGTATTTATTTATTTAATTAGCTAAACTAAGGCCTCGTTGCCAGCTGGAACACATAGTGGCGATAAGATCAAAGAATTGAACTGAACACTCATTAGAGAGAACTTGGCTGCAATGGTGGCAGACTTTCTGAGGCTACTTTTTCAGCTAAGGACTCAATCAAATCTAGAAGCTAGAGATGTGAAAGTTGAGTTTCTCCCCTTTGGTTTTCCCTTTCCACTCTGATCCGGGGCACCAGAGGGCCTTTTTCTCCCTCCCTCCCCCTCTCTCCTTATCCTGCCCTGCAGTGTGGCAAGGCTCAGCCAAGGTGTCAGATACAGTGAGGTTTAAGCTACACACAAGACAAAGTAGGGCTCAGTCTGTGCTCTGGAGTTACTGCAGTTGAAACAGAGCCCTGATAGAGTAGTAGCAACAGATGCAGCCTAATTGTTGAAACTTCCTCTGCTTAAAGGGCTCGGCCTTCTCTAATAATCTCCTCCAGCAGTGGAACAGGGGAGGTTCAGGTCTCCCTGGGTCTTTTTACAGTGAAGTTGTGAGAGGAAGACAATGCCACATCAGTGGGGAGGCACTGATTCCTTCAGGAGCAGTGCCTTCCCCTTCAGGTTCAGAGTCCTCGCCTCCATCACTTGATGGAAAGCAACCCAACTCCTGGCCTTTGACAGACCTCTCTTGCTTTGTGCAGGTGCAGTCCATTGAGCACAAGTTGGATTTGCTGTTGGGTGTCTATTCTCAATGCTTGCGGAAAGGGTCCGTGAACTCCATCAGCCTGACGGCAATACCAATCCCCACCGGGGAGCCTGACATCACCTCCGACTACCACAGCCCCGTGGACCACGAGGACATCTCTGTCTCTGCTCAGACCTTGAACATCTCCCGGTCGGCTAGCACCAACATGGACTAAGATGGCGTCCAGCCTAGCCATGTGGTCGTTACACACCAGCCATATCAGGGAGGGCGGCATCTCTCCGCTTCCAGGGCAGGAGGAGGGATAGACAAACGTTGCCGGCTGCTCTGACAGACAACGCTCCGAGAGCGAGAGCCCTTCGTCACCCTCGCCATCCTGGTGGGGCGCCAACTGACTCCTCTCAATGCACCTCAACTTTACTTGAAGTCTTCCAGCTGCAGAACAAAGCCGCTATTACTGGGCGTTCCAAAAAGGATGCAGTTTTCATGCCCTCCGTAGAGCCATTGTGGCACTTCTGTGGCTTTTTAAACAAAAAGTGCTAAATAGCAGCACCTGGCAGTCTGAACTGCATGGGGCAGGTGGTCTTCTCCATGGAGAGAAAGCCACACTAGCCTGAAACATGATGCAGCCTTTGATGAGCATCTTTGAAGGTTCTCTGCTATCAGAAGCATCTCCAGGTGCATCCAACTTCATAGGGGCTGGACCCTCCTTTGTCACAGAGGTACCAGGGCTGAAGAGCCACCAACAGCCCCTTCCCCCAGCCCAGCAAATAACACCAGTGGTTCCAGACACTTTACTCTATCGGCTTGTATCTGACCGCCTCTGGCTCCGGACTTCTACCAGGTCGGAGATGCTTACTAACAGCTATGCAAATGCTAGGTAACCCTTTCTTCCCCGGTCAAAAGCAAGGGGCATTGCGACTCAAGTGAATGTGGTTTCTTACCTTTGCATCTAGAAGAGAATAATAACTGGCAATGTCTATTCCTGCTCTTGGCAGCGTTTAAGCACCTTGGCTCTTCCCCCACTCACCCCCACCAGGTAGTGAACGTTGCTCTGTGGCCCCGATATCATAAGCACAGCGGGACCTTCCTCGCAGGGGAAGTGCTTCCCAGGTGCAGAGCAAACACGATATGCAACAATCTTAAATATGCAACCTGAAATCAATCTTTACAGTCGATCAGTGGACTTTGAGCCTCCCCTGACTAGGACACGGAGGCAATCCTGATGCCTTTATATGCTCACCTAAGAAGGCCAAATCCAGTTGGCCAGCAGCAGAGAAGTTCCTGGTGACCTGCAGGGTGTGTTGCATCTGATTCCTGTTTTTAGGGCAGCAGCCAGCCTGTCCCAAGGGATTGTGGCTCCCTTGCATCCAATAGCATTAGGCTTTCATGATTAGAGGCTCTGGTTTTGTGGTGGTTACCTTGACGGAGGGCGCTCTGGCGTAGCTTTAGATCCTCCCTCCCCTCAGACCACCTAACAAATCCAGCCCCTTTGCTAGCAGACAGGCCCTGGTTGACCCCCGATTTCTATCCCTCAGTCTCCTGCAGGCAGCCCACTAACCTGCCTTCCTACGGTTCTCACCAAAAGCTTGTTTCCAACATCATTTCAAGCCCCAACCTCTGCATCTTTTGGAGCTGTTCCCATTATGAGGCTGTGCCTCCAGATATGATACGGTATTTTTATTTATTTTTTATGTTATTACTATATTTCTATCCCACTTTCTCCTCCAAGAAGCTCAAGGGTGGTGCACATAGCTCTCCCCATCCCTGTTTTACCCTCACAACAACCCAGTGAGGTAGGTCAGGCTGAGAGGCTACGACTGGCTCAAAGTCACCCAGTGGGCTTCATGGCTGACTAGAGCTTTGAACCTTGGTCCCCGAGGTCCAGAACTCTAACCATGACATCTCACTGGCTCTCAAGACTTGCCTTCCTAAAAACCTTTCCCAATTAGCTTGTTTTGCTGTTTTCTTAATCTTAATTGCAATAAGCATCACTGTAGACTTCAGTCTTGAGTGTGCTTTCTTGGGGAAGATCAGTGGCTAAGACCTTCTCAACACATTACCATTCCAGGTGTGTGCTATTACAAAAAACAACAGCGACAACAACACTTAGGTAGGGGTGGATAATCTTTCTTTAGCTTGAGGGCCTCATTTCCTGATGGGCAAGCTTCCAGTGGCCGCATGTCCTGGTGGGCGGGTCCAGAGGGTAAAGTGGGTGGAGCAACAGGGGTGACTTTTGCCTAGTAGGCAACATTCCAACTAAGCAAGAGCCAGAGGTTTCTACCTACACCCACACACAGCACACCCCTCTCCATACAGGCAAACTTGTGTCCTGTGTTCCAAGGACACAGGCAAAACACTTGTGAAAGGCATGGCCTGGGGAAAGGGGCATGGACTAGGAAGAGTCGTGGCCTGCGAAAAGCCCCAAGAGCCAGAAAGAGAGAGAGAGAGGCCAATGGGCCTGAGATTTCCCAACTCTGCTTTAGAAATTCATCTGCAAAAATAATGTACAAACCAGATGTGTCTAAAAGCACATGCATCATACCAGCATGCATGTCAGAGGTCCACAATTGACTGCAGCTCTGCCGAGTTGACACTCTGCCGCAAACCTGAGCTTGCTGCTGTTTAAACAGTGGCCCTTAGATCTAGTAGTTTGAGGGGACCATATACTTCCTCGCTCTCCATTTCCATTGCACATTCTTGTTGGTACAGAGCCATTCCATGATAATTTACAAGCTTGAATGGCTTGTTCCTTTCTGGCTTTCCTCCCCTTTTTCTGGCCTCTACCTGGCCACCTGGATTTCACAGTGTACTCCCACCCTGATTGGATAATTATTTTTAAGCAGGAGATCGGATCAAAGTCCTCCCTCTTCCTCATTGTTTCTGTCTTCCTCTTTGTCTCTGTCTTCCTCTTCCTCATTGTTTCTGTCTTCCTCTTTCTCATTGTTTCTGTCTTCCTCTTCTTGATGGTTTTTGTCTTCCCTTCCCTACTGATTTTGTCTTCTCTTTCTTAGCGCCACCACCACCATTGCCATACATGAAGATGGAGGAGGGTTTAAAACTGGAAGGTTATCCCTTTGTTTTCACCTCACAGGCAACATCACCAGGGTGATCCAGTTGCCCCAGGAGGTATCAGATTAGGGGGAGGGCCCTGCTTCCATTTCACGCCTCCTTAGGGTGCATGCCACAAAAGCCCCTCTGGCCTCCCGTGCACCTTTCTCCTTTGCATGCTCATGCATGTGTCTTGAAGAAATGGCTAGAGCTCTTCCTGACTTCTCAGCCCACCGAAGCCCACCTCTCCCCACCTCTCAATGCACTGAACACGGCGTCTTTGGAGAATACACCCCAAGTCTTCCATCCAAGACGGACGTCTCCAAAAGTGGGAGGGAGAAGGGGCTTGTGTGGTTGGGGGAGGAAGAGAGGAGGGGCATGGCTTTGACCAACCAAGGTAAATGAAGTGGACCCTCCGATGGATTTCCAAATAAACCTTGTTTCTGAGACAATGAATAGTTACCTCACTTTATTAACTTATTAACTTATTTGTTTCATTAAAGTTTTCAGTAGACGGTTGCCTGTGTGTCTCGTTAATTATCTGTTTGTGAGAGAAACCTGCGGGCTGTGTGGATGGGGGCCAGAGTTAACTTGGGCTCCATCTTGGAAATGACTGTCCGTCAATCTGCATGGGGCAGGGTGAAAGATGGAGTGAGGTATGGGGATCACTAGGACCCCCCTTGCCTTTCAAGGCTATTGAAGCCTACTGTTGAGGGAAAGTTGTACATTTATTCATTCAAAGCGTTTACACCCTGATGTTTAGCTCCCAGCATGGCCTACAAATCATTAAGAATAACACAGTGCCTGCCTTTGGGCTTACCAGCTAAAAACAGATGACACAAAAGGAAATAGGGAGGGGGAAGGAAGAGGAATACCAGCAAACTTGAGACACCCAATTTTTTCTGTTACATGGTTCTTGTAAATGACTGACATGGCTAGAAATGAGCTACTCACAGTTAAAAAAGCAGGCAGTGGCATATTGGGGATGGGGGCACAGTTGTACTGACAGTGTATTGGAAGAGGAGTCTGGACTAGCAGGGGAGAGGGCAAATGAGGGGAGACGGTAGTTACTGACTGTTTCCTTCTGTTTCTGTTCTTCCAAGAATTTGGGAAGAAGCTATAAAAGGGCCCAGAGATGCCTTGGGCTACAACAGGGGTGGGGAATCCTCAGCTTAAGGGCCGCATTCCCTTCTAGGCAGGTTTCCTGGGGCCACCTTCCAGTGCTGGGCAGGATCCCAAGTAAAAGTGGATGAAGTGACAAATGTCAATTTTATCATTGTTTTGCACACACAATCCTCTCTAGCCTCCACCCAGGCAAGGAACAGGCATTAGCAAGCATTCAAGGATACATTCCAGCCAGGTAAAAACATTCAGGGGGCAAAGCACCAGGGGAGAGATTTGGTCCCTGAGTCAGAGGTTCTTCCCCTGCCCCATGGGCTAGGAAGAAGCACAAGAACTGGAAGAGACTTGGACCCCTGCCAGAGCTCAGGGATGATGGTAGTTGTAGTCCCAACAACATCTGGGGACCCACAGATTGAGAATCGCTGACCTTGAGAGAGAAGGCTGCTTGCCATGTCAAGTTGTTCAGCCCTGGGCCATAATTTATATGGTTGCTACAACATGGTCCCTGGTAGCATCCCACTGGCCGTAAGAGCAGCTCACAATTTGCCACTGCCATAAATGAGCTAAGCATATTTTGGCTTCTCTCTTCCCCCCACCCCCAGATATGAAGCTAAAGTCCCACGTTAGGCTCATCTAGATGCAGAAATGAACAGTCTCCTGATGTGTGGGGTTGTTAAATTGAAATTTAAACAATTAAGTTGAACACACACATGGGGCGGAGGAAGCAAATTTGGATTGGGGCAGTGGCAGTAGGATGGGAATGCTGAACTCTTTACCCCAGGGGGCATTTTTCTGATTAAGACCATTTTTTCCAGACCCACCCATGGGTGAAAAGATATGGGGGTCCCTGTGCCTTTTCCCTTGGGAAGCAATGAGATTGTGGTTGGTGGTTCCCAAACTCTTCCTCTCTCAGACCGCCTGCATATTTCTGAAGGTCTTGGTGGACCACTTAATCACAGTTCAGCCTATACTAGTAATCATGATGTACCGTCTTAGATGCTGTAGGTCCTAAATTGCATTTTTATTGCTTCTTTTATTTCACTTATTACCATTTGAAATCCACACAATTCAGAATGCGAACAGGAGATACAGAAGAATCAATAAAAATACAATTAGAAATCACTACAGATATTTCATGCAGACGTGCCACGGACCACCTGACCTTGTTTTTTAATCGTAACCCACCCTGCTTGGGGCCTGAGCGCAAGATCACCCTCCCTTCCTGCGGTTCCTAGCAATTTGGCTCCCAGCAAATTGCAGAGCTCTTAACATTCCCATCTCAAAGAGCCGCCTCTGTCTGGTTTGGGCAGGACAAGGCCAGGACAAAGGTATGCTGCTTACCTGCCTGGTTTCGTTCCAACCCAAGGACGTAAGAAGACTCTGAGGAAGGGGTGGCCTTCTGGCCTGGTTCCAGCACAGCGAAGGTAGTATGGAAGGAATGTTGGGAGGTTGCAACATGGTCCAAGATCTGGAGTCACTCAGAATCCTGCCACCACCACCCATTCTGCCTTTTGAGTGTTTGGAAGTGACCACTTATCCCGTCCCCAGGGTCTGCATTCCTTCACAGCTGCTAGGAACACCCTGTTAATTTTTTCTATACCTGCAGGCAGTCTACCAATCCCCATAACATTATCAGCTGTTACAATTACGCAGTGAATTTTAGCAGAATGAATGACTGAGGATTTGCTTGTGATGTAGCTGTTTTTTTCCATCCCTTTCTTTAAAGCAGCAGGGGGAAACCTGGGGACTCTTCAGAAGTTGCTGAACTCCAGCTCCCATCACCTGTGACCATTGGTGATGCAGGCTGACAGGTGGTCAAATATATCAGGTGGGGGCACACATTCCCCATCTCTGCTTTGAGGAATATGGCATGCAGCGCTGGTTACCCCCATGTCAAGGCAGGAGCTGGGAGCAAGTCAGCAATAACTCACAAGGTATCAGTGAAGTTCACTCTTTATTCAAAGAAACAACACAGCTCAAGCCTAGTGATCACAGCAACTCTTCCCAGTAGGTCTTGTCCCAATGAGGCAGTTGCGAGAACTGAAGGTCCTCACCTTCCACTGCTCTCTAAGTCTCTTCCCGCACCGGCACCTTCTCCAGCAACTTGAAGCTCCTTCATCTTGTCTCTCTCTGCTCTTTCCTCTTCATTCCTCTTCATGTACTGGGAGATGTGGAGGGGGCAGGGGGAGAAAGCAGGTCACAGTGCGAGGGGGAGACTCTTTGGCTTCTTCAGCAGCCTACCCCCACTCTGCCTCTAGGCCCCTCCTCTCCAGCCTTTGCTTCTGCTTCTGATTCTTGGCTGCTCTCTGCCACAGCCTCTTCCTGCTCACTAAACCCTGTTACCTCTTCAGCCTCCAACACCTCCCCCAGCCCCCGTGTAATCAGACTGTAAGGGATGCTTAAAAAGAATTAGAAATGTGCATTGCTAAAAACATTAAGACCACCATCAAGATGTCCTTTAAATACATCAGTGGCAGGAGACCACCTGGGTAGACTGCTGGACACTTGGATGACAAGAGAGTTGAAGGCATACTAAAGAAGGATAAGGAATCTGAATTAATTCTTTGCATTTGTC